CATTATGTTTTTATGTTATCGTGTGATTGAAAGTATGATTTAAAAATGAAAAATTGTTTTGAAAATTTACGTTGTTACAGTTGCATTTTCAACTTCTCCAATAGCAAGATAACAACTGAACATATAAAAAGATTACAACTATTAGACTATTAAGAAACTTTAAATGCTGAATATAAATCACTAAGATTCAACGGAAGTGACACTTACTTTCCAGCACAAACTTTAACTTTGAGAAAATTAGAATCGACTGTTGCAGCCATTTAAATAGTCCTGTGTTGCAAATCTCTAAATAACTAACACGTGATCTCAATGGTCTTGCCAAAGAATTATCGACCTTCAGACCCACTTTTGTGGACAGCAAAGAATCGGATTCATGTGATAGGTTAATCCAATGGGCACCTTCTGTAATAGTTAGGAGACAAAGTAACCAAAATTACTAATCGAAACAACAAATTAAAGCAGGCATTAATCGAAATAAATTGTAGAACAAGTTCACAAATGTAGCCATTGTAATGATCCATAGCCAGGGTGCGTGTATAGAAATTTACAGATTAACGTCTTCTTAAATGTGTTTCCCACCTAAAATTATTATTGTACTTGATAATTAAGTTTGTTAAATTCATTGTTACTTTTCTAGGTTGTTGAAAGATTAGATGATATCAATCCTCATTACAATTTACCTGATAATAAACTAACAAAAAGAGATTGTTTCCAAAAGGTAAGTCAAGCAAATAACGTCCCACTGCTGACACGACAATCATGAACGCCAAAAAATTTGGAAGGTAAATCAATTTCTCACCTAAAATGTAGCATTTTTTGAATTTTAAAATGTGAACTTTTATTCACCGAAAATTTTGACACTGACCCGATAATATCTTTTGCTCTCAAGGATTCGCAATTTCTTGCTTTGGACGTCTTCCGGCTATCATTTTCAATGCAATAATTCCTGCAAATTCAACAGGAAAGTATCTATATGTAAATACTTATATATTTTGAAAAAAGTATATGAAGAAGGACGAACAAAACTTGGCCTTCCAACTTGAATCTTGTCGTTGTCATATCGTATGTCGTTTGGTTTAGTACATATCTTCTTTCAACTCCTACTTCCTGCATTTCATCACTCCGTTCATGCAGATATCACTTTCAATTTCAAAGGTTGTTCCTTATGATGCGTAATC